TGTCTTTTGCTGTTAAAAATATTATATGAATTTAAGAGCTTAATATATTGACAAGGCATACTTAGTGATAAATTAGAAAAAGGACGTTGTCTTAATAATTACAACAATTATTAAGACGTTCAATTGCAGATGAGTTACAAAAATTGGTGCAATGAAAGTTGAAGATGAAGAGATAGAGACGAACAAAATCGATCCAATGCTTGGTATAGAAATAGCAGCGGCTTGGTTTTAAATTTTGATGGGTGCGTGTTGGGATTAACAAGCCAATTTGGTCAAAGACAAGATAGAAAGGTGATCACGCCCAACTATACCTTCTAAAAGATAAAGCGGTCATTGAAAATATAATTCGGTTTTAAGTCCGGGGTCGAATCCTCAGGGAACTAAAATATCTATTACAACTCTTTGACAATGTTATTATCGACTCAACCAATTTCTAGATGCAAGATTCTGATCAATAAAGATTGGATTTTTGTTTAACTACTTCAAATAATATTAAAAACAACAATAAGCTAAAGCAAAGATAATTCAATGGTAAATAGGTCCAGGGCAGTGATTTCCCCAATTGCTAGCTTCGCTCTTGACTCTTTCGCTACAATCTCGCCGTAATACTCTATGAGGATTAAGAGCTATGGGTTATCATAATTATCTCTCGATCAACTACAATAATTTACTAGAGCATTCTCTCGAACTACTCTAATTGACAATATGCGCAGCTCTAAATTATCCCACCAAAGTTTCGTTATCTCTAAACCCACTTTTAAGTTCAAGTAATGAATCTCTTCAATTACCCAAAAGTGGTGTTGTTCAACAGCAGTCTAACCTAATATTCTTTCTCAAGAAATATGAGGTAATTAGACACGATTACTCGAGGTCCCATTCAATCAATCACCATACAAAACGTAGTTGAACAATCATATAATAAATCCGGCTCGATTATAACGAGTTGAGTCAAAACTTCAACCAACAATTGGTTCCATCAACCCTAGATAACGGGTTTAGCTACTCATACTAGTGTTCACCATAATAATATTCAAATTCATCACAAATCATAAAAACAAAAGGAAGAAAGGAAGAACTCGATGTTGAATTAACCTCCTTGCCTCTCGCCTCTCCTTTTCTTGCACTAAGCTATGAAAACCTTGATAATCAATCCTTGGGCGAGCTTGACCTTCTATAGGTTAAGTGAATTTGCCCCCAGACTTCCAAGTTTACCCCTGAAAATTAATATTCCGGAACTGGGCTAGCGCGGCCGTGCTCGTGAACGCGCTAATGGCCGCGCTAGTGGGCTACCATTCTGCCTCGACCACCTGGGCTAGCGCGGTCGCGCTAGTGGACGTGCTAGTCCAGGCCTTCATTTCATCTATTCTTTTTTTCTCGTCTTCTCCCGTACTCAGCTCCTAGGGGTATTTCTTGCTTCAATGTAGCTCCAATCACAGCTTTAAGGCCTCATACAAGCTCCTCACTCCTGCAACATGTGAAATTCACAATTAGAGCCCATTTTTCATCATTTAACTACATTATAACATTGAAACATGATAAAGCTGGGGCATAAACAATTGCCAAATTACATAAATCTAGCTATTATCAACACCCCACACTTAAATCATTGCTAGTCCTCGAGCAATCCACCATACTCTATAGAGGTTCCTTCACTAAGCATTATTCCCTTACGCATCACACCAAGAACAAATCTCATGAGTTACGCCTAGTAGTGAACAATCTTAGCCTCAAAAGTCGACTCTCACGTGCCGTGCAATATTCATACTTTCTCAAGCTACTCTACACAGAAGTCAAGACTTGCCTTTCCTTCATGAATCATATGCCCTCACATTCACACAAGAGAGTAGTTCCACATATAAAGATATTTAGAGAAATTAGGAACTTAGATAGACAAAATTGGCTCACTCTCAAAAAGAACATTCACATGCCAAAAAGATGCACCTTAGGCTTGCCCGTAGTGTACTACTCTACTATTCGAGCCCACTCAGTCTAAGATCAATAGGACTTCACTTGGTTGTAATGTAGGCTAAGGGACGGGTAGGATATATTTGGATATAGTGACTAACCTCCCTAAGCACTTTTTAATACAATTACATTAACATTCAGAACCATACTTATGTCAACCAAACATTCCACCACTTTCTTTTTTTCTTTATTTACAACAACCCCATCCTTAGGTACAGTTATAACAAATCACCACTTATCAACCACTATATTTATTTAAACACATTTTTTTTTCTCTTTTTTTTTTCGTGGTGCTTCTTCTTTTATGCTTCAAAATTCTACACCTTTTCTCGATTTCAATGGTTCCACTCAAAAACCAAACCACCACCCCACACTTTTGCCTTTGCATACTTTCAATACCATTCAAGTGCTTATGGGATGTAAACGGGTTCAAATAGCAGGCTATTCAAACAATTGAGTCAGGTTCGCAATGTGGTTGCCAAAGAAACTGGTTTATAGGCTCAACGGGGTTGACTAAGATGAATTACATTCAGGTGGGTTTACTTTATGTGTCTGGCTCAACAAAGAAATGCCTATATCACTTCTAAAACTGAATGAAACTACTATTTCGCTTTGCAAACACACAGGGCAAGTTCTAGACATCAAATGTGAAACATGGAATACAGTAAAACTCACAACACATGGCATATGACTCATTCCAGATTGGCTTATCAAGACATTCTATTCTGAGCATTCAAGTCAGTGACAAACATACAATTTAAGGCACTTGAGTAAGAATCAACCACTGAGCGTTACACTCTAGTGTCTATTATGTTCAGGTGTATCAACGCTATGGGTTCTCTTTCGATTTTAGCTCGTAGCCCATTAATCCTAATCTAAAACTTAAAAAAAAATGAACAAAAACTACCTATACCCGGTTCAAGCTAAACCCTTGGAAAAGAACCGTGGCCCAAAGAAAAACCAAGGGGAAGTTGTTACACTACCTAAAAATAAAATAAAAAATCTTTTTGGTATTTTCTCTAGACTAACTTCTCTCAAGAAAATTACCTAAAGGATCCGTCATCAGGAAGAGTCTCTATATTTCTTCTTTTTTTCTTTTTCTCGACTTAGTCTCTCAAGAACTCCGCCGAAAGAGATCCGTCGTCGGGACAAGCCACTTACCTACTTTAAACTAGCCTAATGAAACTATTACTCAAACACCAAAAACAATCAAAGCAAACAAAACAAAACAACATCAAACAGTCAATTGTTACAATTACATACATATAGTGAAGTATCCCCCACCCCACACTTAAAATGTAGACATGTCCTCATGGCATCAAAATTTAAAGAACAGTGAGGTAAAGGAACTTCCTAGAAGGCTCACTCCTGGTCGGAGACGGTGTCTGAGTTCACGTTGCAAGCACGACCCAGAGCTCTCAGCCAGCCGAAGAATTTCTTCTCCGACTTCACCTGTCGGTCATCCATTGCGTCTATGCGGGTACCCAAATCAGTTACGGAGGTACGCAACCCAGCCACCTCCTGCTCCAAAGCGGTGAAACGGGACACCCGGGCAGCTCCCGAATATGTTGCAGTCCCAGATGGTGCTGCAGCTGCTGCACTGTACTCATGGGCCTGTGGTTCGGCCCCCATGTCCGCCTCCTGGGCCTCTTCGTCCTCCGAGTCATCAGAGCCACTACTGTCCTCCCCACTTGCTGTCGCTGGTTCCTTACCCGTGGTTACCTTGTCAGCCCGGAACTTGCGGTCTTTTGGTACTAGCCCATCCACAGCTAGATTTTCGGGCACACGAGCGTCCCTGCAAAGCTGAGTAATTAAAGAAGGTAAAAAGAACCGATACCTTTTTATTGGGCAGCGGATGAACATCTCTTCATGCATCACTTTAGCCACGTCGAAGTTGTGACCATTGATGAAGCACCAAATCAAAGCTGCTCGGGGCCCATTTACCTCCGTAGTGTTGGAGGACGGAATCAGACGGTTGTTGATAAGATACAGCCAGCACTTTCCTTCAAAGATTAGTGCCGAGGAGTGAAACTTCTCACCATATTGCATCCAAACCACCTCCTTCCCCGGTACACATATCGTTTCAAAGAATCGCTCCCACTTTGCGTGTGTTGGGTTACGGCCATACTCATAGAAGTCATCATAATCAACCACAGGATGGGGCAGCTGGTATGCCGTCCGTATCGCCTCAATAGAGGCATTCACTGCCTTTCGGCGCACCATGACTACGCCATTGTCATGCTCCGGCACATTGGCATAAAACTCTTTAACAACCATTACATTGCCCTCACCTGGCTCATTAATGAAGGTTTGCAGTCACTTTTAAATGTTTTCTGTTTCTTCAGTTTGGCAAACAAATTCTCATATGCTTTGTATAGCTTCTAGCAAAAACTTTGTACCTAGTGTTCTGACATTTGCCCTTAGGCTGTGCAGCGTTTGATCTATCCTGAGTGAGTTTCTGTTGCTTCTGAATCACAGTGATTAGCTTCATCAATTGTAAATTGTTCTAATTGTTTCCAAATGTGGTCTTCCATTTTAAATTTCACTAGCATGATAAAAAATGCATCTGAATGCATATCTCAAGGCAGGTCATGGAAATGTGCATCTCTATTTGCCCTTGGTCTGTTACTGTTACATATACATGGTAGTTTCCGACTTTAGGCCCCTTAAAATTCTATCGAAAATTTGGTGCAGATAAGCTTATTTTTTGTTAGATTCTTACCTTTCATCTATTTCTCATACTATGAATAATCGATACTGATTTTTTCTTGAAACTCCGGATGAAAGAAAGATTTAATTTACATGCAAATGAAGGATGGATGTTTGAACTTGATGTCTTGTCCAACGTGAAAACAACTTGCTATCTGCTTAGGTTTTGATGGAATTCTTGAGTTACTCAGGACAGCGGCATCCAATCAGTATTGAAGACTATTTTACATTTCTGAATCTCAGCTGCATTGTGAAATAATATAAAGACAAAGGTTCTAGCAAAATAATGTCTATGCTCCAAAGCAAATTCAAAAGCCCCAGATTTGATCTTATATACAAAATAAATTGGAATAAGTACAAAAAAGAACATGATATACATGTTAGCAAATCATTCACACCAACGTACGCACACATACAAACACAAAACCATTGCTCTTAACTATTCACAACTGCACATTGCTTCCTAATATCACCAGCAGAGCCAGTCTTGACTTCAATTCTGCCCATTTTCTCCATTGCCCGAGTAAATTCAGCGTAGAATTGTTTGAGCGATCCTTGTACTAGCTGGTTGATGTATGACTTTGTTGTCGCACTTGTAGTCAAGGCTGCATCAGATTGGAATAGCCCTCTTCTCTTGAGTAGAAGCTTAAAGTAGCTAAGATCAAATGTCCTGAAACTGCCAGGATCCATTTCAACAATTGTGGTATTGTCATTGATTGATTTGCATTTCCTCGCCTTAAGATTAGCTGCATGTTCACTGTCTAGAGATGGATCTTCTGTGCCCAAAACTCCAGTAAAATTGTATAAACGTGTTGAAAATGACGAGCAATGAGAGATTCCAATAGTATGTGCACCTGATAAAAAATTGTTCATAGTAATAATGATTCTTGTTTAGAAAAACAAAATATATGGAAAATCTTAATATAGAAGAAGTAGAAATATGTACTATTAAACTTACCAGACAATAGGACCAAGTCTTTTAGGTCAAAACCCTTGCTAGCAAAAGATGTCTGAAGACTGGAGAAGTTACTAGTTGGAGGAAGGATGTTTGCCAAGGCCTCGGACGCGTTTGATATTCTACCATCTCTTCTACCAGTTGGTACATTCCAGTAAGGGCCTCCCTATCATTCAAAGAAGTAAAAGGGATATAATACAACAACAACGACGACAACAACAACAACAACAACAACAACAACGACAACAACAATAACATACCCAAGTGATTTTGGCACTAAGTTGCAATACTTCAAGAATGGCACTAAGTGAATATATAGCTGCAAATATGTGACGCACTTACCCTGACAAAACAATAATGGAAATGCAGTCTGAGTAAGGCAGCTGCAAGAGATGGAGCATTTGGGATGTGATTTTGGACATAATCTTGAATTATTTTCTCTGCTTTTGGACAGCTCTTGGAATAAAAGTTGAGCTGTAACTGAGCATGGCTAGAACCTATTATTCTTAGTAGAATACACAACACTAAAAAATTACCCAAATGGCCAAATTTAGCCATTTAATTACTTACTTCTTTTTGCAACTTTTGAAAGAGGTCTCTTTCTTTGTTCGAAGTCAAAAGATATAGGAAAGGTTTTTAAAGCAAACTTCTTCACCTGAAATTAAACCACCAACCTCTTAAATGTACTTGGGGATAATATTTTAGTATAGTTTGTTCCTTAGCCAACTAATTTTCAATTTCATGTTAGCAGTTTCATTTGATCTAATATTGAATGTTAGGTGCCTGAAACATTTCCTACAAGTTCTTTCTACAAAAATAATGTTTAATTTTTATATACGTGGAAAAAAATATTAGGCACCTGAAACATTTCCCACATGATACAAAATATGTTTCTTTCTGCAAAGTGGCTTAATTTACGTTCCAGATTACAAAGAATGGATCGGAGAGGTTAATTCCAGAATAATTGGGATACCTATGAAAGATTTAGGGATTTTGAAGTGGATGCCATTGTGGTAGATGAGAATGCAAGATACAGTACTCTGATCTCTACAATTGCAGAACAACTATCAATTGATACTGCTGAAAAAATTGTAGAAATCAAATACATCGTGAAATCAAATAGTAGATTGTATATAATTTGTAGACAAATTGTAGTTAATTTGTAGATTGTAGATAATTTGTAGATATAATTGTAGATACATTGTAGATAAATTGTAAATAAACTATTTTATGATTGTAAATATTTTTATTGTTGTTTGTTATGTAATTCTAGGTGAGGGCTTCAACAGATCAAATTCATACTGTGATAGATGGTGTGAAGCAGTGCATGAATCCTACATTATAACTACTATTAACTACAAAAACTCTAAAATTATATATAAAACCAGTTCTACAATTCAAACAAATTTACCTACAGTATACCTACAGTGAATGTACAAATTACCTACAGTTTAAGTACCTAATATAAGAATAACTACAATTTACCTACAGTTACAGGGCAAACAGGAAACACATTATCCACAATCATGTCTACATTATATCTACATTTTAGACTACAATTAATCTTGGAATGTTCTACATAAACTACAACTAACTACAATTACACTACAAACAGTAAATCTAGGTGAGGGCTTCAACAGATCATATCCATTACACTAAATCTACAATTACATTACAATTACACTACAATTACACTGCAATACACGAGAAACAGTAAATCCAGAAGAGGGAATTTTGTTTGGTACCCAAAAATAAAAAACTACTAAAGTGTATCTGTTGTCATTGTTTTGCTAGTTCGTGGCGTATTAAAATGTTTGTTGCAACTTTTGATTTCATGTAGACTTTCAGAAAATCAGATCACATGCCACAATTGTTGCAGAGGAAATTGGCACGACATTCAAATATAATGAGATTTCGCTGGCTAATGCATCTCAAAGGACATCTTTCGTTGATTGATCTTGCAATCGTGGATGAAGAACAAGAAAGAATGTGGGGTATGGGTAAAAACGTGGGTGAGGGGGTGAGGGGTAAGGAGAGAGAAACGTGAGATATATGGATACCTTTAATTAAGGAGTAAAAACTGCCCATTAATTAGATATGGATACCTTTAATTAAGGAGTAAAAACAGCCCATTAATTAGACCCTTAATTAAGTATGGTATAGGATTGGTAATTTGGTATACTAAGTGTAATTTACTCAAACCTTAAACATGTAGGGTAAAAAGGTTTCCTATGTGGTATAGGAATGTAAAATTTCCATTATTAATTTAGAATCAGTAACTTAAAATTATTAGAATCCTAAGCTCATAAGTTTCAAATCTTGGCTCTGTGTAACCTAAGTGAAATTCGCCATGTGCTTGCGTGGCGCCTAGGGGCTACTGCTGTCCTGTATATGAACATGACAATAATGACATGCTTGGCATTGTTACCTTTGTTGTTTAGTCATATAATCTATCTGTTCCGATTAATTAGTCCATGCAGCAGAAGATTTCAACATGGTGAAAGAAGAACAAACGAATGGAGCTACTGATCAGGATAGCGAATACCTTGCATTGATGGAAAGAATAAGCGAAAGGAAATTTTACCGCGCTGAGAGGCTGATACGCAGCCAAGTTGTTAGACCAACTTTAATGTGGGAGAAATGGGAAGAAGAGAATGACAAATGGCTTGCAGAACATTATCCCAATGATTTGGACTTAGATAATCAGAATGAGTTAGTTTGTGAAACAGCGGAGCCACCATCAAGTATGACTGTGCCACTGTTTAGGTACCAGAAGGAGTGGTTGTTTTGGTCACTCAAGCAAGAAGAATCTTCGACCAAAGGGGGTATTCTCGCTGATGAGATGGGGATGGGGAAAACTATCCAAGCGATAGCACTTGTGCTTGCTAAACGGGAATTAGGGAAACCAATTAGTGAATCCAGCTTATTGTCATCTTCACTCAGTACAACACAGGAACTCCCAGCAGTAAAAGGCACTCTTATCATATGTCCTGTGGTTGCTGCCATTCAGTGGGTTAATGAGATCAATCGATGCACCAGTGAAGGAAGCAACAAGATTCTTGTTTATCATGGCAACAAAAGGAATCATATCCACAATATTGAGGAATATGATTTTGTCATCACTACTTACTCCACTGTTGAGGCTGAATATAGGAAAAATGTGATGCCGCCAAAACAGAAGTGTCAGTGGTGTGGAAAATCTTATTTTGAAGACAAGTTGTCCATTCACCAGAAGAAGTGTGGACCTGATTCTGTTAAAAATTCCAACCAGTCAAAGCAGCAGAGGAAGAAGTTAAAACTTGGGGTAGAATTGTTGAAGCAGGAAACAGATTCTATGGAGTCAGAGACTATTATGCAGAAAACAGATTCTACGGATTTAGAGGCTAATGTGCAGAAAGCAGATTCTATTGAGTCAGAGACCGATGTGCAGAAGACAGGTCATAGGAAGAGCATGAAGCATAGCATGACAGAAGAAGGGAAGAATGATGGTTCTATTAACAATTCAGCAAGTGTGTGCCAAGATTTGTCACGGAAGAAGTCGATTTTGCATTCAGTAAAGTGGGATCGCATCATCTTGGATGAGGTAGGTCATTCATTCACCTATCATGCACACTTATATTTGTTGTTGCTTTCTTCAATTATCATTTTCTCATAGTTCTTATTTGTCAGTATTAGCTGTAAATGTATATGGTTTGTTTCCTTGGATATGTTTTAATGTTCTGTTCATGATGCTTTTGATAAAAATACCAGTTTTCTCCCAGAAGATCAAGTTATTCACAAAGCCTAAAAGTTAGAAACATGGAGATCTGTAGTGATTTCTTAAGGAGCTAGAATGTGAAGAGTCTTGTGGTTTATGCAGAAACACTATGGTAACTGCTGAGTAATATAGATGAAAGTACCTACCGGCCTCTATGATGTTTTAGGTCATCAACCTTTAATTAGCAGTATGAAAGAAACAAAATATTTATCCTTGTCCTAATGCTCATTGTTTTACTCAACTGCTCATCATGTGAAATATTATCCGCTCAATTCTAGTTTGATCTCTACCTTCTATCCTCATAATGGATCTGAGCATTCTGTTCTCTCTGTTCCTACTGAATGATGTTGTATTTGATTTGTAGTGTGTGCCTGTCCCAATCATCTCAGTGCGTCTAGAATTCCTTAGTTGCATGTGATGCAATGTCATTTGTCTGCAATGTTTCAACTGATTGCACTTCTCTTGCACAGGCTCATTATGTAAAAGGTAGGCGCTGCAACACAACAAAAGCTACTCTTGCTTTGGAATCTTCTTATAAGTGGGCCTTAAGTGGTACTCCGATTCAGAATCTTGTTGGAGAATTGTATTCACTTGTAAGTTTAACTTTTGCTGGTTAATCTCTTCCGGATGTTTGTGTTATGAGATTAATTAAATGCTTTACTTTTCAACAGGTCCGTTTCCTACAAATAGTACCCTACTCTTTTTACTTTTGCAAGGATTGTGATTGCAGAACACTCGACTATAGGTAAACTGAAAGCTTCTTCTTGATCTTTGTACCTACCCCAAGGGCTAAAAACATATTTTATCTGTTCTTCCTTCCTTTAGCTCCTCGCCCATTGTTATCTGAAATCTTCTCTCTTGTGTGTCCTTTGATAAATTTTATGTCTTGCAGCTCTACAGCTGAGTGCCCACGATGCCCCCACAAATCTGTACGGCACTTTTGCTGGTGGAATAGAGTAAGTTAAATTGGCATTCAAACTTTCGAGGCTCCCTGTTGTTGCCAAAAATTAAATTTATTGCTGACATGGTGAGGTTGATGTGTATTATCTTTCTAGTACATTGCTACTCCTATAAAACGTGAAGGGAATTCTGGGAGTGGTAGAGATGCAATGTTTCTTTTGAAACACAAAATTCTAAAAAGCATCCTACTAAGACGTAGCAAAAAAGGAAGAGCTGCTGATCTTGCACTTCCTCTGAAAATTGTAAGTTTTGTTGGGCACTAGTGTAGGTTGATTCAATTTGATAATCATCTTCTCTCCAGCTTATCTGTTACTTGTATATGGTCTCAGGTAACTTTGAGAAAAGATTCTTTGGATATCAAAGAAGAAGACTACTACATGTCGTTGTACAATAAAAGCCAGGCACAGTTTAATACGTATGCTTCCTAGCCGATATATGCTGTTCCAACCCAGGATTTTCTTGTTTGCCAACCATTCTTGCTTGTCTGTGGTTCCCCAGTTTGCTGGTCACCCTATAAGTAGTGTTTCCCTATTTTTGTATCATGATTCATGAGGCTGGCACGTTTATTTTGCATTCTTGTCTTATCTATTGACTAATCTCATGGAGCATGTTTCCTATGATTGCTTGGTCTTGAGTATTTCTGGAACATATTGGTTCCATTTCTTGGAATACTGAATGATTAAGATCATGTGCTTTCCTTTTCCTTCCAATGTGTTAGATCATGAGAATACTGCTATTATCTGATAGCATTTATCTTTCTCCTCTTCTCTCTCTCTCAATCTCTTTGTCTCTCTGTCTATTCTTTTCTTTTTCTTCCTTTCTCATTTCTTCTCCTTACCTCCCTTCTCCCTTCTCGTCTCTACATCACCATGAATTTCTTTTCTTGTTATTTTTACCTTGCAAAAATGTCACAAAAAGAGTAAGAGTAGTTTTAGATCTAGTTATACCCATTATGTATTTTGATGCAGTTATGTTCAAGCTGGAACGGTGATGAATAACTATGCACACATTTTTGAGCTGCTCATACGCCTACGGCAGGTACCAAGATGATGCTGTATAAATGCTTGACTTGCATGGAACTAATTGTTGTTGGTAATTGTAATGCACACATGCATTCATGTACTTGTTTGTTTTGATTGTCTAGTTATTACCTCCCAGTCCTCACAATTTGATCTACCATGCTCCTCACTGCATCTTTGTGTCTACAATCTCTATCCAGTTAATTTTTCCTGCAAATATTTTTGCGTTCAGCTACTTTTCCTTAGTCCTTTCTTTTAAGGGATCTTTACATAAGTAGCCGGTCAGATTTCCATGTTTACTTTTTCTAGCCGGTATACATAGATTATACACTGGTTATATACGATTATAAACATATTATATATAAATTATACATATATTATACATCCGCCGGTTATTTTTTATTTAAGCCATTCGGTGGGTGTCTATTTGGGTTAATTCTTCTATTCTTTTTTTAACTTCAACTTATTTCTTGTAATATACATAGAGAGATGTTGTGCAACTTCTTTTATCTTGACCTATTCTTTTTAATATTCTGCACCTTCTTTTATGTTCTCCCCTTCTTTTTCCTATCTCTTTTTCTGTTGTAATTGAACAAAAGTTCTCATTATAAGTTTAACCCTCTGGTATTACATTTTTTTTGCTTTGTTAAAATTTTGAAGTGATAACTTTAGATGATTGGACGTGTATTTGATGATTAATGTATAGTCTATACAGTTTGGTCAAAGGAATTTTGGGGACTACAAGATTAATCTGTACTCAATCAAAGTGTAGGACTGGAGCATAGATTGGATTGCAGAACTTATTTGATGTGTAATCCAGCTAACTAGATGAGTCCTAAAGGTTAACTCAAGCATATTTGTTTGCTTAAATTATTTCCTCACGGCCGAGTTCTTCAGTTTTGTTTTGCTAGTCGCTTTTGTGAATATAATTTTGACGTACCTGGCCCTCTTATCATGCTTGGCCCCAGGTATATATTTAGTTTCCTGTTACTTGTTACATGCGGTTAGTATTCACTTTTCTTTTTGCATCTTCCAAATATGCTTCTTGAGGAGCGGGGTTGCAATAAAATAACAGTTTAAACACCCGTAATAAAGTAGAAATTTGATTATCTAAAGCATTCAAGTGTTTGTTTTATTTCAGCCAAGTTTTGTTGTGTTAAATGTCTGATTGATTTCTTAATTCGGCAGGCAGTTCTTCATCCTTACCTTGTGGTATACTCGAGTACTGCTTTGGCAAAAATTGGGAGCATGGACTCTGGAAATATTGAGCAACCTTGTGGATTATGTCAAGATACAGTAGAAGATCCAGTAGTGAGTTTATGCACCCCTTCTCCCTTCCACCCAAAAAAAAGGAAGAGAATGTTCCAGCATCTTTCAGCTGCTCATTTTCTGCCTGAATATTATATGTACAATCGTTAAATACGATTTTCTTGCATTATATGTTTAAAGTATTTTTCCTTAGTAATTATTTAAGGATCACATGTGTACTAGTTCTTTCTGGCTAAAATGGTGATGATATGGCCAGCGCTTTTACAAAAGCTACTCCATATGCTATTTCCATTTTCCAGAAGTCCTCTGAAGTTCATGAATATTTTGGAAAGTCTTTCTCCGGTATTACCAAAGATATTAAGCTCTTCTGATGGCATGCTGTCCTAATCCATTAGACAGTCTTTTTCTGAACTGTGCATCTATTTTGATTATTGCAGATTACTTCTTGCAACCATGCCTTTTGCAAGACGTGTTTGATAGACTTCGCTGCAAGTGTGGGACAAGTATCATGCCCTCTGTGTTCTGAACTACTTACAGTTGACTTAAGTGCAAATAATGATAAGGCGGATCAGAAATCTAAACCGACTCTCAAAGGATTTAGGTCCTCAAGCATAGTGAACAGAATTCAGCTCGATGATTTCCAGTCCAGCACTAAAATAGATGCATTGGTATCTTATCTTCTCTTTTATTATTATATTTTCCTCAGCTTACTTTTACTCCTTGCTTTATGGTTTTTTCCCTTCTCACAAAGAGACCAAGTAGGTGGCATACCACATCCCCTACAGGCATCAAGCCACTAATTATGATTCTAAGACTTACATGGCATCTACCAGATGTAGCTCATGATGTTGTACCTTGATGTATGTGCTTTTGCATTGAGGAAAACCAACATATTCTTGTCAACTTAGTAGTGTTCAAGTTGAAGCTTATGGATTAAATGTTTTCCCCATTTGAAGTGTGAAAAAATGGAGGAATCTCATTCTTACCATTTTCTATTCAGATTGTTCTCGAAATCTTCTAGTATTATTTATTGTGCATAATATAGTTAAAGCACCTTTTTTTTTTATACTCTCTTTGTTCCAATTTATGTGACACATTTTTCAAGAATTTAATTCACATAAACCAAATTCAAATTTGTTGTGATATTTTCTCTGTCAAGCTGACTTCTCAACCTTTAATTTGTATTTCTTCCATTTCCATGGTATAATAGTGAAATTCAACTAACATCTTAAACTCAATATCCAGTAGGAAGATCCAATCTTTAGATTCAAAGTGAGAGGGGGTTTGTGGAGTACAAGATTGATGGTCATTGCTTGTTTTATTGATTCTAGAGGGAAGAAATCAGGTTCATGATTGAAAGAGATGGTTCTGCAAAAGGAATAGTTTTCAGCCAGTTCACTACATTTTTGGATCTGATACACTATTCTCTTCAGCAGGTAAGATATAAAGAGATCTTTGCTCCCTTCCTACTTTTTCCTCCTTTCTTTTTCAGTCTGTGTAACAAGAAAAGCTTGCCTTGTAAACTCTTCAGTCGGGCATCAATTGTGTTCAATTAGTTGGATCCATGTCTATTGCTGCAAGAGCTGCAGCAGTTACCAGATTTACTGAAGATCCAGATTGCAGCATTTTTCTTATGAGCTTGAAAGCTGGAAGTGTTGCACTCAACCTTACAGTTGCATCACATGTAAGCTGTCTCTTTCATTTCTCTGTCAACCGACTGTGACAACTTTTTTCAAATGCCGAAGGGTTTTAGTATCTAGTGTTTTATCCTATCACTCTTCAGATCTCCTGTTATTTGGTTCATTTAACCTATTCCAACTTCACTTGTCTGTGCACTTAAAGAGCCAGCTCAAGTACCATCCATCACATGTATTTATATGCTGAATAAGCACGCAATTCGTGGTGATACATGGCTTCTTCTCTTTGGCTATGCTAGGTTTTCATAATGGATCCTTGGTGGAATTCTGCTGTGGAGCGCCAAGCCCAAGATAGAATCCATCGAATAGGACAATACAAACCTGTTAGGTCTGTTTTACATTTCTTGTATTTTTATGTCATTGACTGGAACTTATTTTATCTTTTCTCATTTCTAGGATTGTGAGATTTGCGATTGAAAATACAATTGAGGAGAAGATCTTAAAGTTGCAGGAGAAGAAGGAACTTGTTTTTGAAGGGTAAGTGAGTTTTTTCTTACGGATGGTTGCATATGTATTGTGACGAAAATAGGTGATCAGCTAAAAGTTGGAAGTGATTTATTTATATATGCTATCTTAGTTGGAGAGGTCTCAAGAAATTATGGAAATCAAGTAATTTTCTTCTAACTATTCTATAACTAATTGGTGAGCATCCTCATCTTCTACCGTGTAGGTTGAGGGTTCAAATACGTACACAAGTAGCTTCTCTTCCCCCTTCCACTTTGTCTAGTTGCAACTCATTCATGACTCTCTCAATCAATTCTTTGGTATCACAGTTCTATATCATCCCGCTGTTCTTCGATTTGAATCTGAAGTAAACTATATTGAAATCTTTGATTTCTTCCATATAGCTACATATACTATTTCATGTGTGATTTCCCTCACAGTATGAGTAATTATGAGATGATACTCTCATCAGTTTAAAGCATAAAGATTAATTTCGTATTGCTTAATCTCACTGTAGTTAGTTCTTTTGCTTCCTCTTCCCAATGCAAAAAACTGAAAAAGGTCAAAAAATAGAAGAAAAGGACAGTTGGCTACAGTGAGAGCTCAAATAGCTTTCAGCGTTTTCTCATTCAAATACCATTTGATGATTTCCCCTGAAAGATATTATTGAATACCTTTTTGTTTTACGTTTTGCTTTCTTGTTCCCTTCTTTACTCTCCCCACCCCCAAACACTCTCTCCAAAACCATTTTCCCTTTCTTTTCCTCAACATACTGAAACTTTCAAGTTTGATTGCAGGACAATTGGTGGCTCTTCAGAGGCCTTTGGGAAACTAACGGAAGAAGACTTGAAATTCTTGTTTGTGACTTAAATTGGACTATGTTCTGTTCTTTGGTTTAGCAAACAAAATTCACTTGTATTTTGTTTAGCTTCTATCACAAAGTATGTACATAGACTTCTGAATTTAGCCATTAGGAAGGCTGTATTGCTTTTGATTTGTCCAGGGGAGTTTATGTTTGTTTTGCATTACCATGATCAGATTATAATTTCGTTCCAGTCAAACAGTGAACAATTAACACTGAGGTGCGCAGAATGTCCAAGGCGTTCCTTTTTTTCATCTTAACCAAAATATCTGATGTTTTGGCAGCGTCATAGGTCAACCAATTTTTGAAAAGTTATTTTTGATGAGAAAAAGTCTGTGTTTGGCAAATTAATTTGAAAAATACTTCCGAGCAGCAATTAATATTTGACAAGGTTTTTAAAAAGTGCTTTTAAGTGTATTTTTCTCGAAAGTGCTTTTACGTTTAGAAACTAAATTATTTTTTTGCTTTTCCAAAACTGCTTATCCACTCAAAAGCACTTTTTTTGAAGAAAATGAAGCAGCACCAGAATGTGTTGAGCAGTGTTATTCATTTCTTATCATACTTAGTTGGGATCTTTGCCATTACTCTTATCTGCTAAAGGGAAATAATCAGCAGAACATGATACATTGAGCAAAAATAAGCGTAAGAAGGCTAATTGTCACCAACCTATTACTTCAAGAGAGTTGTGTAACACTCAACCTCATTCTATAGCTAACAGCTTCTCCATTAGCATTTACTTATTACTAAACCTGGAGATGACAGCATATATATAAATTGAACCTGAACACTAAATTATTTGTAATGAGAAATATGTCACCATTATTCTTCGACCATTAAGCATACCAAAGTATATGAGACCTTAGTTTAAAAAAAACACAAATATTTTTTTTTAACGTATCGAAACACAAAAATAACCTACAAACTCTCTCCCTTTGCATTCGCTGCTCTTTTGCTTTGCTCCCTTGCTGCTCACTGGTTTTGGTTCTTGCTTGAAGACAGGTATTTCAGTAAACAACGTTAAACAAAAGTTCTGTTTGAGAAAGTTTTTTTTTTTTCTTTTTTTCGGGGGGGGGGGGTGGGGGGGTCGAATATA